CACACACACACACACACACACACACACGCATAAACATAATGTGAAATTTAAAAAACGAACAATTTGTTTCTTTTTTTCTTGAAAATTATATGAATATATATTTTATATTCAACAAGTAGCCCTCAAAAAAATAATTGTTAAAAATAGGAACAAATATTTCATTTTTTTCTGGAATTTTTTTTTTTAAAAAAAGAGTCATTTTAGCATATTCTCTTTTTGTACTATAAATGATATAAGAAATTAGCAAATATTATCTGGAAAGGACGATATTAGCATTGAAGACCAATGATAAATTATTTAAATATTATCCACAAGAGATAGTATTAGGGTTAAAAGTCATACTATTTTAAAGGTATTGAAATATTATCCGAAAATGATAGCATTGTAGTTGAAAGCCAAATTATCCGATAAATGACGAGATGAATAAAAATAAAACTCACACAGTAACTGATGGTAAATTCGTTTTGTTGATACAACTGAATTATGTGAAAGATTTCAAAATTACGGTAAAGGTAAGAAAATGAAGGCGGAGGAAAAATGATAGAATGTTGAGAAGGAAAGATAGGAAGTAATATAAAAGTGGAGAAATAGAAAGATAAATAATTATACAGGGGAATATTAAAGGTAAGAATTAATAGTAGTAGGAGTAGGAGGAGGAGAAGTATTGAGGGAAGGGCAATATTTCGCACGGAGATTTTTGGTAAAGGAGATGGGAGAGGCCTAACCAAACATCATCCTTCTCTTTATAACCAAACTCTTCCTATCAATCATTTACCACACCATCATCACATACCGTAACCTTCTCATCTATCTCTTTCCATTTTATAACCAATCATATGCAATATATCATTGTTATTCATTTGTAAAAAAAATCATAAAATCATACTATTATGAATTATATACATTTTATCAATTAAATCGATAAAATGATATGCAATATAATTTTCTTTCATTTTAAGCAACTACATAAAAGGATAAATGATTAATGAAAGTACAATTGTGAATTAAAATGCAAAATAATATGGCATGAGGCAATTTTTATTTGGCTATAACACTTGGCAAATTTTATCATCAAATTTATTCACTTCAATGACAATGAATGCTATCCTTATCCATGAAATTACTGCCATTTAAAATATTTTGGAATGATAAAACAAAGCTATTTATTGATAAATTCGATTTATATATGGATAAATTTGTTTGTTGTTCTTTTAAAAGAAATTTTGGATTTTTTTACAATAAAAATTGAATGAAATTCTTCATTTATGGTGAATAAAGTAGAGAGAGAAAAAAATTGAAGAATTTTGAAAGTTTTTTACATTCATAGAGAATGATTTTAATATATTTCAAAAATTTATTTGGTTTAATTGACGCTTCTGTATATAGTTTTTTAAACCATAAATCAAACATCAAATATAAAACTCTCATAAATGGCAAAAAAAAATTTTTAGTTTTTAAACTCAATATTTATATTTATTGTTTGTTTTAACCAAATAATTCGGCCGTTAGTTTTTATTTTATGAATAATTATCTCCCGTCGTCATAACTATAAAATTTAAATCCAATTTGGTAACAATTTCTGCTGCTTTTGATACAGTTCTTCATTTCTATTTTAGTATGTAAAATGACAATTGATTTCAAAGATTGCAACTTGTCAAATTAATTTTTCATTTCTAATGTGACAACATTTTTCGCGGAAATTATATTTGTATGAATTGTTGCATTAATCATTAAAAATTTTCATCCTTTGAAATTTTCATGAGCAACAAAGACTTTATCAATTGAGCAAATAAAGATTATTGTTCAAATCAATACTTAAATTAAATAATTATTATCAACAAATGTTAGTGAAAAATAGTAGACTTGGATAAGATGTGAAATATTGTATGAACTATCATCTCAATTACACAATCATATCATCACCTAAAAATGAGTTAGGTTGTTTAACAACTTGACAGGTTGTCCGATAACCTAATCCGTTTTCCGGTGTTGTGTAAACAAATCCATGGGGCGATGATGCAATATATGTCATTAGTGCCATCTTACAATACACCAATCAGAAATTTCAATTCAGTCAATCTGTCAGCTGACATTTTAAGCAATAACATCAATATCTTAAAAACAATTGCTTTATATGAATGAAATTAAATGTTTGTCATCAACTTCATTTTTCGTAATACTTTTGTTTTCAGTGATTTTATGAATACAAAATGCAAAAAGGTGACATCTAATTTTGGCATGGATTTTTAATTGACACTAAGAAAAATGCAAAATTCCTTCACTTTTTTTTGGAATTTCGTTAATTTTGATAGTAAAAAAGAATCTGTAGGAAGTAATTTAGTAGCTATTTTTAGTAGTTTAAAATATAATTAACTTTTATTTGAACTGCACATGGTGAACGAACAATTAAATTTTACTAAAAAAAAACTGAAACATAAATATAAATAATTTTAAGTAATTTGACAATATTTTGATTGTTTCTGCAATATCGAAATTTCAATACTTTTAAAATACTATCGAAGTGCACCAACAATTTCTTTTTTGGAACAAATCATTTTTTCCTCGAATTATTGAAATGAAATGAGGAAAACGTTGAAGCAATAAATCTAACTCATTTCTTAGGTGACAATTATTTGATATTATTCTATTGAATGGAATTCATGAATAATATGGTCATTATTTGCTTAATTAAAGTTTTGGAATGTACTTTGAAGGAACGAACTGTAAAGATTACACGCAAAATTCATCAGCAATGAAATTGTTTATTGCAAAAATCTTTGGATCATATCGTGTAAGGCTCAGTTAGTAGTAAAAGGATTAACAAAATGATCGATAATGGTATCTTCTGAAGGGTTTTGCAGATCGATGTTTTATGGCCAAGTGAAATGAACCCTTGAGAATGCGCAATTAGCTTTTAGCACATTTAGATGCTATTGCTACACTCCCTAAATTGTTACTGTTAAGGATGAATTTGAAGCATACTTAGGGGACAATCATTTATTCTCACATACATATGCTCCATTTTTCTCCTTTTCTTTTTTTTCCTTTTGTAACTAACCTTCTCAATTAAGTTAATTATTCCTTAGTTATATGATATTTTAAGTAATAATATATTTGCTGAAAAGTCAAGACAAAATTTCAAAAACTGTTAAAATTTTATTAATCATTTTGTACATAATATTATTATATATCAAGTGATTTATAATCGTAAACTTCTTCGCTTGATAAACAATTTTAATTTTGTTGTTCAACATTTCCAAATCAACTTTTACATGACTCTTTTCAGATTTTCTCCGAAAATCTGAAAAAAAAAAACTAAAATGAACAGTTGACGATTAGAAAGAAAAAAATTACTAAAATCAGCTTATAGTTATCACCGATCAGCTAACATCGTTGCAATCATAGTTTGTTATCATTCTCATTATTGTGATAAATGCTGTATTTGCACATCATTATCATTATAATAATTGTTAGCATATGCTTACATCATTCATCGCAATCATCGAATTAATTAACGTTTGACCTGACATTTCAGCTCATTCCGTTTGCTGACGATGATCCTTATATGAATTGCATCACTTCATAGGTACCTTTAAACCGGAATAAGCATCCCATGTTTGTATATCGATTACCATAATCTGGTTAATGCTAACATATCATTATGCTATTCCTTTTTAAAGATGCATCCAACCAACTGTAAAAATTTATGAAATTTTAATCAAATTGTAAAATTTTCATTCATTTTTCAACAAAAAATTATACATTGAGATCGAAAATTGTACGAAAATTAGTAAAATAAATTAAGGCAGATGTAAAATGGTATGTATGTTATTTGACAAAGCTTAATCAATAAACTGAATTTATTTCAGTAATATTTAATGATGGAAATCATTATTAGTTTTTCTAGTAATTATATATAATCATGTGGTTCTGCACTTGTTTTGGTTAACTTTCTTTTTTTGTAAATTTTATCCAGTTAATTATTATTGCCATTATTACTGTTATTATTATCATTATTTATTATTACTATTATCTTTACAAAAATGAAAAAGAGATAAAAGTGATTGAAAACTACTTTCATCCAATATTTTATAAGTTCTCTTTTGATTAGCTTTACAAATTTCTAAATTATATTTTAATTATAATATATCACGAAAATTTCTCACAGTCATATCAATAATTTGAATTTTAAATTACTCAATATTATTAATATTTATTAAGGATGATGACCATTACTACATATAAATGTGCAATGTATAATATCACTAATTAATATAATACAAAAGTTTTTAATACAGTATAGTACATTTTATAAACTATTTGACATATTTTTAATTAACGCGAAAAAAATTAATAAAATACTGAACTGAAAAAAATCACAACTTCATTACTTAAATAATTGAATGAAGAAAATGAAACATTGTAAAAATTATTGATGCGGAAATTGAGTGTAGACAATAACCTGGGTAAGGAGAGAAGTATCAAGTATAAACTAATACACCACCTGCCGTTAAATTTGCCACATCAGTGAATTCATCACCAAAATCATCAATTCACAATTGACAGTTTACATGACATCCTTCATTCCGTTCCTCTTATCTGATACTTGTTGTGATACGTTACATTACGCAACTCTCCTTAATCTATGATAATAACAGAATAGAAAATGAAATTGTTATTTAATATGTATTTGCATTTAATAAAATGACCGTCCAATAAAATAATATGAATTACATCTGATAAACAAATAATTTTTATTTTTTAATGTATCAAAAATTTATTAATTTTTTTTTGCTTTTTTGCATATCCAAATACACTTCTGCAATTACCCCTGGTTAATTTTATTTTTTTATTATAATCTAAAAGCATTAATTAAGTATATTGATCTAGAATACTATGAAGTGTAACAATTTATATACATTATAATGTAGGTTTTTTTTTTGAAATAAAAGTACATCACGTTCAATTTTATGCAGAAATGAAAATTTGATACGTTATAACATTCATACAAGTAAAAATAGAAATCAGCAGGAAATTTTTATTTCTGCTTAAATAAAAACATGACAGATTAAGTGTTAAACTCACAGCTTAAACAATTTTGAAAATTTAGATGAATAAAAATGAGATTACGTCGCTTCGTATGCAGCCAAAAGATAGATCAAGTTTAACATCTTATATGGATGAAAATACGTCTAAATTTAATATTTTATTAAAAAAAAACTATCAAAATTCGATATTTTGTGACAAAAAAGAAAGAAGAATATTATTCGAATTTTTTTCTTTTTGGAAAAATTAAAACATCTTGACATTTTGATATTAATTACTGTTGGGGATATTTGAAATGGGAAATTCATCATCCCACAAGATCATTTATTCATTATAATATATTTTATGGAAGCGCTAACAAGACTTTCTTTTTTTTGCTGTTCATCATAAAGTTTAATAATGGGCTCAGCATGAAGATGTTTAAAAAGCACCTCTAATATGCATTCATCTTTCATTGGCTTAATGAATAATTAATCATTCAATCATCTTTAGGCATCATCTGCTGATCAAAGATACGCAATTTTGAAAAGGTTTTGACACGCACATTTCTATTTCCCGTTTTCTCGAAAAAGCAATTGATAAGCAATGTAAAAAGCCTAGCCATGTATATATGACCAATTTTCATTATCGTCATCAATCCACTTGCTTGCTTAACGAAAATATATCATTTGTTACAGCTTGCAAGAAATTGATTTACAAGGGATGTATATGTGTATATTGATAATATTTTTCAATTTTCAATGAATAATTCATAATAAATAACCAAAAAAAAAGTAACGCATTATTTTTCATAAATTATAAATTATAATAAAAAAGCAATGCAAAAGTTTAACATAATGTATTACGTAAGCCTGGCGTTAAAATTGATAAAAATTTGATTGCTGTTCTCTTTATTTTGAAAATCGCAGTCAAACTATTATATTTCATGTACTTTTTCTTTTCCTCTTTTTATTCATTATTAAAAAATTTGCCTTATTTAATGTCAGACTTACAATATTTTCTCGAGAATTACAATCGAAAATGGATACGAGCAAACAAAGTTTCCCATCTGAACGAATTATTTGAGACTTCTCTCGGATGTATCATTTTGCATATTCTTATGTTAAATTATTCGTTATGTTTTACAGCGGTTTGATTTAAAAACAAAATTTTAAAATTTTATTTAAAAATTGTTTAATACTTATAAAAATGTATAATTTCTTAGCAAACAACATAACTTATGGTTGTAAATATATCATCAAACAATGTGTGTTTTTGTAAATATACCATCGAAGTCTTCTAGATAGCTAAGGAAAAAAAAATTTAATCTATGTTGAGAACTATTTTAAAAAAGTGTAATTTGAAGGAAAATTTGCAGAAAAACTATTAAAGATGAGCAGAAAAAAATCAAATTTGCACTAATATGAATATAATTTACCAAAAATTTTTAGGAAAGAAAAAGGAATTTGATTTTTAATTTAAAGCTTAAATCAAAAAGTTAGAATAAAGTTAAGAAATCAGTCAATTACATAATTTTTTTATAAATTAAACGGTAGAATATAATGTCAAAATTTTCAAAATACATAACGTTCCCAAATATATTCTAACATTGATTGTTGAGCTATGTCAAATTACCGTATAAGATGTTTCCCGAAAAAATATCCTGAACGAGCTGGGAGATTGTTTCAAATAAGAAAATATTCCTTGGCTTTCACGAAAAAATGCATAGTAAAGGGATATTTTCATGCTGGAAGACTTTTCCGTATATTCTCCCAAAAATATTTTCACGGGGGAAGACTTTTCCGGCTTGCCGGATACTCTCCAAAGAGATGTTTTTATGAAGACTTTTCCGAACCTTGCAGATATTTTCCCAAAAGATATTTTCATGGAGGAAAACCTTTCCGGTTTTCCGGATACTCCCTCGAGAGATATTTTCGCTGAGGAAGACCTTTCCGGATTTTCCGGAAATTCTTCCAAAAGATATTTTCATGGAGGAAGACTTTTCCGGACTTTCCGGATACTTTCCCGAGAAATATTTTCATGGAGAAAGAGATATTTTTTCCGGATTTTACGGATGACCCCTCCCCTACGATGGAAATAATTTTCCCGAACTCTTCCATATTTTGTAGCATGTAGTGCGTATGCCACGTTTTTAGGTTACCAATTTTGTTTGACGATGAGGTTATAGGAAGGGTGGGAGTGTTCTTTGTAGGGCAGAGAGGTCAGGGGTGGTGTAGATGGTATGATATTTCGGAGATAATAGACAGAAATGTTAGGGTTAAATAGTGCGCAGAGAGAGATCGAAAAAATATGCGAAATACTGTGCAGTTTAGTTGTTGCTAACGATTAAAGGTAAAGAGGACATCATAACACATAGAGTTCATCAGACATTGATGTGAATTGAGGCGAATTGTGAATTAAAACGAGAAAGTAATTTAATAGCTAACACTGATAATGACAGTAGTGGTGAGAATATTGGATGATGAACGATATCAATGATAGTGATAGTGACAGTGATAAATGATTAAATCATATTCATTTCTCCGTCTGTTAATTCCT